GGAGCCGGACATTTTCGAAAATTCGTAGAGTATAGCTTGAAGGCTTTCACTTCACTCCCCTCAGCTCCAGCCAATTATAAAATTTTTAAAATATTACACATAGCTATGAGAACATGTATCGTTTGTTTAAATGAAGATTATAAGATATTAGTTTGGCCAAAGTTTGGGATTTGTCGTGGACAACCCCCAAATTATAATAGTTTGGCCAGGAGTTTGGGATTTGACGTGGACAACCCCAAATTATAATAGTTTGTGATTTAGGTGGCAAGTATACATGACCGAAATAGAAAACAGTAGATACCTGAACGGCAGTCAAAACGCTTTGATTATCTGTGTCTTTAATTGTGGTTTACATAACACTCCTTTTGGTGAAAAGATCATGAACGGTGTTTTTGTTTCATCTGCGTTGACATGTTCTAATTGATCAATGAAAGGAACTTTGTGCCTGGATATTTCATCGTAAATAGCTCGAAAATGTATGACGTTCCATGACATTTTGCATTAGTTCAATGCTTTGCCATTTGAGTGGTGAAGGATGACCAATTCCTGCTGAAAATATTGCGGAACGGCTTGGCGAAATAGGGGCAATAATCGACCACTGTTGATGCCGTATGTGAAAGCTTGTACGCGTCCCTGCATTATCTTCAGGTTACATATAAGCAAATTCTTTCGCAGAATTGATTTTCTTCCAAATACATATAACAGTATGTCGGTTTTACTTATTTTCGCGAGTAATACAAACCAAAAAAATAAACTAAGTGCGTGAAATGGAATTTTGGGGTTAGGGCCTTAGTGTTAGAGGCTATAGAAAAGAATTAACACTCATTATATGTAAAATTTCATTCCCGACATTTTTAATTAGTGAGTTTTTGAGTATTTTCGCTTTTTTCTTCTTTCGCACGTGTTCGGATTCTAAGTCATAGTCAAAACTTACATTCTCTGATTTGCTATTTCCTTTTTAAGAGTTTGTATTACTCATTTCTTTACAAAAATTACTGTTACTTAATTGTTTATCTAGCTACCCTAGCGTTATCAATAAAAAATTTCTCTGGCCGATCAAAATCCAATGTTAGATGTCCAAAAATCATTCGTAACACAAATTTTACCTATCAAACTGCATTTTGCACATTAACAAAAAGTTCTTCTTGAGAAATTTTGGTACAACTACAGAATTCTAACCCTAACTTACTAAACCTGACCTAACAGTGAAATTTTTTTTTTGATGAAATTTTTTAGATCGGTAGCATACCTTAGCATTAATGTAAATTTGAAAAAAAATTTAGCATGAAGATAAGGCCATACAAACTTAATAAATTGGTTCTCATAACATAAAATTAAAATTTTATTTTCAAAAAATTTTATATATAAAAAAGAAAATTTATTAGTTTACACATAGTGTTTATACACGGGTATAATTTATACAAAAGAAAAATTAAACCCTCGATTATGGTTAGGGTATGGGTGGGTTTGGGATCGGACAAGGTATAGCTTATACCAAAATTTTGCAAGGAATTTTTTTTGTTAGAAGCCAAAAGATGGTTTCATAATCAAAATTTTGAGATATCTATATTGCCCGCGTACATACACCCCGTGTACAAATAGAAATTGCCTTATCATCATTCCTGGGACACCTGTAAAAATTGGCTAAACGATTTTTCAGCCGATATCGGTTAAGTTTGTGATTTCGGAAATAATAGATTCAATAACAGATAAATTGATATATCAGATATATACGTAATTTAAAATCAGGCAACTAATATAAACATTAAGGTTATTTGACTACATATCGATATGCATATCTCTGGTTGAATACAGGATTATTATATTTTCCAAAAGAATTTCGATGGCAAATAGTTACAAAAAAATTTAGAAGGCTTATCGTTCAAAAATTGCCAAACATTTAGGTGTTAGCAAGTCTTCAATGAATCGATTTCTCAGGCACTTTCAAAGATGTTGAAAAACTTTTATCACTTTCAAGAAAACCACATTTTCTAAACATGAATGATATATCTTAAAACCTTAATGAATAAAAAACCTGACAATTCGAAATAGAACTTTGGTGAGGATATAAAATTAGTCACATTACAATTTAAAAAGTTATATACCGACTTAGATATGCACGTAAAAAAGTATTTTATATATGTTGTCTCTCAGACTAATGCTTGCCTCAGATCACAGCTGACGCACCTCAGATGCAGATTGTTAGGTGAGGTGCGTAACCTATCGATCGGTCAATAAGCACAAAAAAAATTGCCTGTAAAGAAATTATTGGTAATTGAATGTGCTGAAAAACATAGACAGGAAGAATATGCCATAAATTTAGACAAAAAAAAACTATATGTATAGAGAAAAAAGTATGTATTAATTGGAAAGAAATGAGTAATACAAACTCTTAAAAAGGAAATAGCAAATCAGAGAATGTAAGTTTTGACTATGACTTAGAATC